TGTTGGGACATTTGGTCCCATTATATTAGGTTTACCAAGTACACACACACACACACACAAAGCTTTAGTTTTTAGTAGCACAATGCAAGTCACTGGAAACTAGGGGTGCCACTTCACATAGTCAATCTATGTAAAAGCGTCACACGGACATGCCTGTTACGTGTGCATGGAGCTCTAAACCCACTCTCCACCGTGCCTGTCATCCTCTGACAGAGAAAACACGCACCTTCGGCCTTCCCTGCCAGACCTGACTAGAGAACAGAGGGACAGATCAGAACGCATCCTACTGACAAATGCATTTAGCATCTAATCTGAAGCGTACATGGAGCAAAACCTACAGCCAAAGGATATTATCAATTATCAATTAGATTAACATGCAAAGCACACTATTTTATATCTACATACAAAAACAACAAAGCAGGATTATGGCGACAGCTGGATTTAAACACAATAGTTCACTGACGTGCGTTGGTTAGCACTCTGGCTCCAGCTCTGGTTCGAGTCTAGACTGCAAAATGTTTTGGTTCTATTCCCTCAGCCCATTTTACTTCTGTAATGGGACATAAAACAATGCGGGACAAGACGTTTGAGAAGTGGTGCATGTTTATTATTTTCATGAACTACAAAGACACACTTTCTTCAAATTTGGAATTATACGAACTCATGAATAGTGCACTATAGCGTAAATTAGTGTCCACCCACTTTTTCAGCTGCACTGAGTTTTGTTTCCATTAATTTTTCCCATAGGGATTTTAAAAGAGTCTTTGTTAAAGTGTTATAAGCCATGATCCAAACCTATCACACATTACAAACTTTTATTTGAAGCAAAGAACTACAAAGCCATGAAGCACTGCAAATGACAATCTAATTAAAAACTATGCAGAAATATAAGTGAGATTCTCTGATTGGTGGAATTTTCTGGACAGCATTATGGGTAATGTAGTTTTTAACCACAAATTCAACTGTTAAACAATTATTTTAAAAATAAGATCAAATAATGCAAACAGATGGCTTCAATAAAAGCATATACAATCGATTCACAACTTGAAACTCAAAGTAGGTCTTTCTTTAAAGGCTTATACATTTTTACTTCTGGTACCCCACTGTTGCACACTATAAGACCAGTAATGTGCTTTAAGAAAGTTGGATTTCCTGTTGACTTTAACTCTATGCAGGTCGAATACATGCAATCACTATGTGGCACATGACTGTTATGACAGAGACCGAGGGGAGAAATGGTTGCCTGTCTCACCACAAATCCACACCTTCAAAACAATACGTCATCTGCTACCGCTGCTGTTTCTAAGAACTTCTCTACAATGATGTGCCGCCCCAAGAGGCATTAACTAACAATAAATGTGTCCAGCTCACACTGCTGCACTCAGGTGTTTGTGACAGTGCCCTTATTCAAACAACTTATTCAAAAAGTGACTTCAGAAGACTCTTTGTCCAAAAAAGAGATCAAAGACATTATTAAATGATATGGACAGTTTCACTTCAGACAACTCCAAAAGGTCACTGTATTTCAAAATAGATCATCATAGTGATTCAGAGAATAGAAGGAAAAGAGATACATAATGAAAGAAATGAAAAAAGCCCATGACCGTATTAGTTAAACGCCCCCGCCACAAAACAGAAATCTGTAGGAGACTTCACAGAGGCCACAAGACTCCACTCCTCTCTTCAGAGAATCAGCCACCAGATTGGTTCCTGGGCTCTTGTGGTGTGAAGACTTTATGAGCTTTCAGGTTTTTCCAAAACCACACCTGACCACCAGTGATCTGCTGACAGATGCAGTGTAGGAGGCAAAGATAGATAGAGCAGCCATAGGCTATACAGACCTTTAGATGTGAACAAAGTCCCTCAGGGGCTCTTGTTCTACCCAGCAATCAATTCCTAAGAGGCCCTTTGGGGGAATATTTAGCTAGTAGTCATAAAATAGTCTTCCATTTAAACATCTACTTGACCACAGCTTACCAGGAATTTGGGTCTTGTTAAATGTGACTAAACTGGCTGTCTGGCAAGTGCTCAAATGGATGAAGTCAACATGAAATTTCATGAACACACAACCATGTTTACATGCACTTGAAGAATTAAAAAAAGAATTAGATTGTATGAGCTGTGAGGCTTTGAGCTTATAGTAAAAGAAACATGGTCTTAACACACCAAGAATGATAACTATAAAGATAACTACATTAGTGTCCACACCAACAGACGATCTGCTGCTTTAAATGCTTGTGCTCTTTAAAGTTGAGTAAATTCTGATTGCCTGTCAACTTTTTTTTTTTATTGTTCATCAGCTGCAAAAAAAAAAAAAAAAACATTCTGAAAGTGATTCCAACAATTTTGTTTCTCTGTGTCATTACTGTTATAGCTGTGGAGTGGACTTCCCTATTCTCATAGAATTAGAAGGATTATCAAAATGTTATATGTACAGTATAGTTATTGTAATAGTTATCGCCCCTGGTGTGTATGGGTCTTTAATCTTTAATCATAAACTACAGCTACAATACTGCAGCAGCAGTTCATAATCTGCATTTATAGGGTTGCGACAATAAAACTGACACTGTGAAAGTGGGACTGTGATATTGGCAGGATCCAAAATTAACACTCGCCAAGTGCTAAATGAAAACTTGTATAAATTGGTTTAGGAGATTTAATAAAAAGGTGTTGTATGTAAAGCAACATGTAAAGCAAACAGTAAAGGATGCACTGGCAATGCCAAAGTCATGAGTTCGATTCTCAGGGAAATGCATGAACTGCTAAAATGTATATCTTGAATGCAATGCCAGTTGCTCCAGATAAAAGTATTTGCCAAATGCATAAATGTAAATCACAATGCAATTATTGATAAAACTTCTGATCTTATTCCAGATTTGTGGAAATGCATACTTAGTGGTAAAAACACAGATATAAAAATATAGGGAACAATGACCTGCACTGTTTGTTGAAAATATACAAATGAATATGAAAAAAAAAAAAAAAATTAATGGGCAGCAAAAAAAATAAAAAATCTCATTAATAGAAAATGAGTCTTTGACAAGTGTGGCAAACAAATTAATTTTGGACCCTGAATATCACATTGTCTGATCTACTGTGAAAAAAAAACAAAAATGATAACACAATCTGCTTCTTTGCAAAGAATATGAAGCAGCACATATGAAGTGTTTTGGTATTTCAGTGAAAGCAGTTGGTAGTAAAAGAGAGTGGTTAAGCAAAAGTAGAGAAGGGAGTGGCACATGTGAGAGTGTGCGTGTTACCTGTTTGACTCTGTGTGACGGTGTGTGTGGATGAGCTGCTGGTTGTGACAGAGTCAGAGGGGCCGGTGGGGCCACAAGAGGCGGGTGAGGTGGAGGCGGCTGATGTGGGGTTGTGCTGGGCAACGTGAGCAACTGCAAAACCTGGAATGCAAACACACAGGCACATGCAAATTGCTTAGACACTGACAGACCTGGTATCACTGAATGTCCTGGCATACTTTCTGTATCAAACTGAATTACTATTGATACAATACCAGCGACACTTGTGACGTTAAGGGGTCAGAGCAAACAAAGAATGTAATTAAAAAGGGAATTTTATTTTGCCAACGCGTTTCGGCACACAGGCCTTCTTTAGCCCTGACGAAGGCCTATGTGCTGAAACGCATTGGCAAAATAAAATTCCCTTTTAATTACATTCTTTGTTTGCTCTGACCCCTTAACGTCACAAGTGTCGCTGGTATTGTATCATTAATCATTTTTCTTCCCACGCACCTTGTTGATTGTGTGAACTTGCACCAGAACAATCATACAACCTATTCAAACTTAATTACTGACAAAAACAAGCTGGAACTGCGGCTTAGTCTGGCCATTACCCCTCTCTAATCAGTAATGACCCACCTCCACCGTATTAGAAAATAATATAATAATAATAATAATAAAACACCTTTACTTGCAGATTATTGAAACACTAATTCATCACATTACTATATTTTGGTATAAATAACCTTAATTACCAAATTACTTTAATGTGATCCAATGAGAGGCAATGAACAGACCAGGCTTTTCAAAACACTTGGCATCAAACCAAGAGTTCTGGGAACCACAATCTCTTTTACCTGAACCAACGACACGTCATCAAAAGGGACTGAGAGACAGCTATTAGTCATCCATTTCCCTATACAGAGAACTCACTTTTGTGAAATTAAGAACCAACACAATCCTACCCAAATCTGAAAGTATCGATACATTTTGTAAATACTGAGAGATTTGATGGTATTGCCCCACTCTTCTTTGCAGAACTGCTCAAGTTCAGTTAAATTTAATGGTGAGCGTTTGTGGACTGCAGTCTTCAAGTAATTCCACAGATTTTCAGTGGGGTTTAAGTCTGGGCTGTGACTAGGCCATGCAAGGACATTCACCTTTTTCTCCATTAGCCACTGTGTGCTCAGTTTTGCTGTGCTTTGGGTCATTGTCATGTTGGAAGGTAAACCTTCTTCTCATTGACAACTTTCTGGCAGAGGGCAGCAGATTTTCCTCAATAATTTGATGGTATTTTGCCCCATCCATTTTTCCTTCTATCCTGACAAGTGCTCCAGTCCCTGCTGCAGAGAAACACCCCCATAACAGGATATTACCACATCCATGCTTTACAGTAGGAATGCAGTTATTTGGATGGTGAGCTGTATTGGATTTCTGCCAGACATATTGTTTGGTGTTGAGGCCAAATAATTCAATTTTAGTCTCATCTGCCTCAGAATCTTCAAGGTGTGTTTTGGCAAAGCTCAGTCGTGACTGCATGTGGCCTTTCTTGAGGAGTGGCTTTTTTCTTGCAACCCTCCCATACAAGCCACATTTGTGGAAAATTTGTGATATTGTTGTCACATGCACACAACGACCACTCTTTGTCATAAATTCCTGCAACTGCTTCAGAGTTGCTGTAGGCCTTTTGGTCGCCTCTCTGATCAGTTTCCTCCTGGCTCTTTCATTCAGTTTGGAGCGACGTCCTGATCCAGGGAGGATCTGTGTTTTACCAAATACCTTCCACTTCTTAATAATAGACTTCAGTGTGCTTGTAGGCATTGATAAAGCCTTTTACATTTTTTGTGTCCATCTCCTGACTTGTGCCTGTCCACCCATAGTTGATTGTCTGCATCAGTTGCACTACCAAGGACTGAAATGCTCCAGGAATGCTAAGCTAATCAAAATGACCACAGCTGATCACAGTTGAAAGTCAAATGAATTTGTGTGCCATTGAGAAGGTGATTAGCTAAACCTGATTGAGTTTACAAAGCATTTTTAGGAGGGGGGTGATGGCTTTTTTCTTGCAACCCTCCCATACAAGCCACACTTGTGGAGAATTTGTGACATTGTTGTCGCATGCACACAATGACCACTCTTTGTCATAAATTCCTGCAACTGCTTCAGAGTTGCTGTAGGCCTTTTGGTCGCCTCTCTGACCAGTTTCCTCCTGGCTCTTTCATTCAGTTTGGAGCGACGTCCTGATCCAGGGAGGATCTGTGTTTTACCAAATACCTTCCACTTCTTAATAATAGACTTCAGTGTGCTTGTAGGCATTGATAAAGCCTTTTACATTTTTTGTGTCCATCTCCTGACTTGTGCCTGTCCACCCATAGTTGATTGTCTGCATCAGTTGCACTACCAAGGACTGAAATGCTCCAGGAATGCTAAGCTAATCAAAATGACCACAGCTGATCACAGTTGAAAGTCAAATGAATTTGTGTGCCATTGAGAAGGTGATTAGCTAAACCTGATTGAGTTTACAAGTCATTTTTAGGAGGGGGGTGATCCTGGCTGCGTCGGAAAGCCTAGGCAACTGACTTGCTGCCACGCTGCCCTATCAGGCAATGACTTTGCAGGCAGTGTTTTTGCACGAAGGCACCTCATGAAACTGATTTCGGACAGGCTTCTGAGGCAGAGAAATAACATCAAAAGTGCAAAAAGTTAGTCAGAAATATACATTTACACACAAACCAAACGCAACTGTCAAGACGCCATTTTTATTTTTTAGCTCAACTATCACGGAATGGAACGCACAGGATTGTGGGATATCAAAGGCAGCGAAGGATACATCTATGCTACCTTCAAAAATCAATCAGATGAAGGTATCTCAAGAGACAGGAAGTGAAGCTAACTTTGGATTCGGACGTGCCTTGATGCCTTCCTACCTTGGAATGCGTCCTCCGAAAGCAGCATTTTAGAGCTTTTGGACGCAGAACCTTTTTCCAACTCTGTGATTGTTTTTTATTTTTAGGGGTTCAAGCACGTAGTGCTGAAAACCTAGTGTAATTGTAAGGATTTTAATTATTATTATCCTTCTCTGCTAAAACTGATCGTGTAGACCAAACCGTAAGGCCTAGAGAGCTGAAACTTGGCCAGATGGTAGAGCTCAAGAAGGGGAGAGACTGGCAAAGACTCACCCCAATCGGACCAGAGGGAGCGCTACAGCGCAAAAAACAAAATATTCATACATTTTTGGCCATAGCTCCGAGCCCGTTCGTCGTAGACTCAAAAATTTTATTCTGTTTTATTTAATCCTTGGGTCAAAACAAACAAAACTGCTTGCTGACGGATTTTCTCTATGAAGTCCGGTTTTTCCGCAAAATTGAGTTATGTCCAGAACCTACTTTTGCGAACTCCTCATAGGCCGTTTGTCCGATTCGCTCAAAACATGTACCATCTAGAGACAGTCACGACAAAAAGTTATCAAAAGAATTTCAATCGGTGATTCACAAGTGAAACAGGAAGCTAAAACGTTCGAAATAGGTGGAGCCCTTTTTACTAAAATGGCTATAACTCCTGAACGGAATGAGATATCTTCACCAAACTTGGTGTGTACATGTGTATGAGCTCAATCTTTGGTCAAATTAAAAAAAGTTGCGGAGCTTGGCCACTTGGTGGTGCTATAAGACGAAGTGTCTTTGTCAAAGGTGTCACAAGGGTCTACGAGGACATTCGCGTATCTCAAAAAACATACTTAAACTTAAATGAAGTTTAAGCACCTACTAGACAAGGTTAACGGAGGCTGATCAGAACGAAACTCAGTGGGCATGTTCGACTCATGGCCCTAAAGGTCTGTAAGAATTCTGAAAGAAACCGGTCACTGGTTGGCATTAACAAGCTTTATGGCTCTGTAATCATGTGTTGTTTCACACATCCACACAATATGCATATCATTTGATAGATCTCCTCATACTGAGCAACTTTGCCTCAAGAACCATTGCTGTCAGCCAAATCATTCATTAAATATTAACAATTATGTTAAAAACCTACTTTTGCGAACTAGTCCTAGGTTTTTCAGTCACTATCAATCAAACGCCTACAGATTCATTGGACTCTCTAGATCAATAATTATCAAAAAAAAAAAGAACCATTGCTGTCAGCCAAATCATTCATTAAATATTAACAATTATGTTAAAAACCTACTTTTGCGAACTAGTCCTAGGTTTTTCGCTCTATCTCGATCAAACCACTGCAGTAATATTCTCTGGACTCTCTAGATCAATAATTATCAAAAAAAAAAAATTTATTTTGTCCTTTGGTTAGCTATAATGGGGTCATTTAGAAAAGGGGCATGGCCAAATATACCCAAAAGCCTATAAAATCTAAACAAAACCTCAAAACTTCACGAAACTTAGTGAGCATATGCGACAGATGATTCTCAACAAGCATGCAAAGTTTCATGGAGATCGGACCATGGGTGGTGCTATAACAGTTAAAAAGGCTTCAAAAACACAATATTTCTATGGTAAATGACCTCAAATTGCACATAAAATTTTCATATATTCACACATACACTAAATCTTCATATCATATGATAGATCTGCTCATTCTGAACAATTTTGTCTCTAGGACCACTGCTGTCAATCAAATTCTTCTTTAAATATTTGAGATTATTTAATAAACCTACTTTTGCAAACTAGTCCTTGGTTTTTAACTCAAAATATAAAATCAGTGCATTACAATTCTCTGGAGTCTGTAGGTTAATAATTATCAAAGCAATGTTGAACTTTTGCATTTGGACTGTTATAACAGGGCCATTTAATAATATGGTCTTTACCTACTGCACCCAAAGGCCTATAAATTCTAAAAGAAAACTTAAAACTCCACAAAACTAAGTTAACTCATGCATCATATGATTCTAAACAAGCATGCAAACTTGTATGGAGATTGGACAAAAACTGGCACTATAATGGTTATAAAGGATGAAAGCAGTATATCTCTAAGTTAAACTCCATGAAATTGCAATTCTAACCACTAGATGGCAGCATAGGACCACTAATGGGCTCATTCAACTCACTAATATAGTACTTTTCACAGGTGTTGCTTTTGGATTCATATTTAGACATTATGAAATCACTATTACAACATTTAAGATCACATTTTGTCACAGTTTACCACTTCATTTACATTGAGAAATCATATTTTGCATTTAAACCACATTATTATTTCAGTGAGACTTGAAAATTGTGTTATAAAGAGAAGACTTGCAGTAAGCATTTTGTTACCTATCATTTACTTAAAATCTCTATATCTACAACAAAATATGTTTGCGTGTGTGTGTGTTTGTCTGTGTCTAAGAATGCTTACTGTGTATATTAAGTATTATACTTTAACACTTTCATTTCAGATTGTGTAGGTATGTGTTGCAATATTCTTCATCGTGGATCTGTTATGATGTCAGCCCAAAATTTTTGCAAGTCCTATTTCCTAACAGCTTAGATTCAATAAATCCCTTAAAGTGCTTGAACTTGCAGCAATATATATATATTTTTTTTTTCTGACATGTTGGTGTTATCATATATCTTTCACTGAGTAAACTCAGCTGGATAAAACAAAAACTGTGTCTGTCTTCATTTCAGGCTGCAAAGCAACAAAATGTGATTATTTTAAAGGGGGGGTGATCTGCTCATTCTGAACAATTTTGTCTCTAGGACCACTGCTGTCAATCAAATTCTTCTTTAAATATTTGAGATTATTTAATAAACCTACTTTTGCAAACTAGTCCTTGGTTTTTAACTCAAAATATAAAATCAGTGCATTACAATTCTCTGGAGTCTGTAGGTTAATAATTATCAAAGCAATGTTGAACTTTTGCATTTGGACTGTTATAACAGGGCCATTTAATAATATGGTCTTTACCTACTGCACCCAAAGGCCTATAAATTCTAAAAGAAAACTTAAAACTCCACAAAACTAAGTTAACTCATGCATCATATGATTCTAAACAAGCATGCAAACTTGTATGGAGATTGGACAAAAACTGGCACTATAATGGTTATAAAGGATGAAAGCAGTATATCTCTAAGTTAAACTCCATGAAATTGCAATTCTAACCACTAGATGGCAGCATAGGACCACTAATGGGCTCATTCAACTCACTAATATAGTACTTTTCACAGGTGTTGCTTTTGGATTCATATTTAGACATTATGAAATCACTATTACAACATTTAAGATCACATTTTGTCACAGTTTACCACTTCATTTACATTGAGAAATCATATTTTGCATTTAAACCACATTATTATTTCAGTGAGACTTGAAAATTGTGTTATAAAGAGAAGACTTGCAGTAAGCATTTTGTTACCTATCATTTACTTAAAATCTCTATATCTACAACAAAATATGTTTGCGTGTGTGTGTGTTTGTCTGTGTCTAAAAATGCTTACTGTGTATATTAAGTATTATACTTTAACACTTTCATTTCAGATTGTGTAGGTATGTGTTGCAATATTCTTCATCGTGGATCTGTTATGATGTCAGCCCAAAATTTTTGCAAGTCCTATTTCCTAACAGCTTAGATTCAATAAATCCCTTAAAGTGCTTGAACTTGCAGCAATATATATATATTTTTTTTTTCTGACATGTTGGTGTTATCATATATCTTTCACTGAGTAAACTCAGCTGGATAAAACAAAAACTGTGTCTGTCTTCATTTCAGGCTGCAAAGCAACAAAATGTGATTATTTTAAAGGGGGGGTGATTCTTTTCTATACCCACTGTATGTATATGTATATATATGTATATATATATATATATATATGTAGTACTGCCTTTACAGTAATGAGAGAGAGAGACAAGAGTCAGAGGTTGCCCAAGCGTTCTTCTTTGTTGTCTGAGGATGCAGACCGCAGTTGTCACGGCAACCCTACTCTCTCAACTGCTTCCCAGAATTTGGAAAATGCAGCTGGACTGTTCAGTGCAAACTCATTATAACACATTAAAGTAATTTAAATTAAACTTAAATATACATTTAAATAGAAATAGACAAACATAGATACAAAACAAAATATATACAAATAATTTAAAGGTGACATATCATGAAAATCTGACTTTTCCAGGTTTTAAGTGCTATAATCAGGTCCCCGGTGCATCTACCAACCAAGGAAACGTGAAAAAGATTAACCCAGTAACTTTGTTTTGGTAAGCCTTTTTCTGCAAGCATCTGAGAAAATGAGCGCGTCTGATTTCGCTCCCTTGATGACGTGGCAAAGGGATCTCATTATAATAATATTACATATTGTAAAAAGGGGCATAATATGTCTCCTTTAATATTCTTGTGACCCAAACTATATGCAGGGTGGTCTCACACACACACACACACACACACACATATATATAAGTATATCACACTTAAATACCCATTAAACCACATTACTTTGTGAATGACACACTGGTCTGGAACCAAAAGTCTACATAAGGGTTGAATATCATGACTGCTCAGAATCACAGCTGGTAGAGAGGAAGTATTACCTAGAAACCTTTTTCAAAAAAACAGAACCGTAACTTAGAAAAACACTAGAGAAATTCTGGGGAAAACAAAATTAGGATGTGCAATGGTTTAAAATTAGTCAAATTTCTGTGCAAATCTCCACAGAGAAAAGTGAGTGAGCAAGTCCCTTTCAGAAATAAAAAATGCAAAAGAGGCAAATGTTTCACAACATATATTAAATATATCTTATACTGTAACAGAAACAGGAACCTCTGATGTTGTGAACACTTTCCTATAAAATGGGAACTTTACATTAAGACTCATCTACCACCAAATCATCCAAAAGACTTGCTCAAAAAACTGCAACCGAAGACAGACTAGGCATTCATTTTTCCATTCACTTGAGAAATAATATATACCAGAGCTTAGCAATAACTTTAACTGTCAAAGTTAGTTTTTTTTTTTTATTTTTTTTTTTATTATTAGATTAACAAAAATGTGAAATTATAAACTAAACTACTGTCAAAAAGTTTGGGGTTTTTAGTTTTTTTTAATGTTTGTTTAAAAACAAATCTCTTATGCTCATCACGGCTGCATTTATGTGATCAAAAAGACAGTAAAATGGTAATCTTGTGAAATATTACCATATAAATATTAAAATAAAAAGCATTTATTTATATTTTAAAATGTAATTTATTCATGTGATGGCAAAGCTGAATTTTCAACAGCCATTATTCAAGTTTTCAGTGTCACACGATCCTTTAGAAATAATTAATAATATGCTAATTTGCTGCTCAAGAATCATTCCTTATTATTATCAATGTTGAAAATAGTTGTGCTACTTCATATTTTTGTGGAAAACAAAATGCATTTTTTCATAATTCTCTGATGAATAGAAAGTTCAAAAGAACAACATTTATTTGACATAGAAATCTTTTGTAACAATGTCATTTTTACTGTAATTTACTGCTGTTATTTAATCAATTTAATGCAACCTTGAGAAGCATTAATTAAAAAAGCTAGAAGCATTAAAAAAATATACATATATGCGAAATAAAAACGAAAATATGCAACTGTGGATAACACCTGGCCCCTTAAAGGCAGAGTAAGCGATTTCTGGTAGCCAATGTTGATATTTGAAATCACCAAAACAAACACGCCCCTACCCCAAAAGGGTCTTGCTCCTATTTTGATAGCTCCGCCCCACATATACGTACGCAACCCAGGCAACGATTAGTTCTGTGAAACAAAGCAAAACCAATGTTACACCATGTCTACGGACGTGAGCGGCGCGGCAAGGAAACTGCTGCCGGGTTTTATTTATGACGTGCTGACACAAATTTCAAATGGTTTTCAACGGTCGTTTGAGCACGTCCAGTGTAGGCAGACTTTAGCTGTTGTAGACACAGTGTTACTCACCCATTGAGAAGAAACAAAGCAACCTCGACGTCCGATCGCAGGCCTCCGCTCCTTGAGTTCTCTCCAGCGCTGGAAAGCTGATCCGATATTTACACGGGTCCTACTTCTTGCCTTATCCTTCCGCAGACATTTTCCTCTTTTGCTTTTTATCCGCCATCTCTATCTCTCTGTCGCTCGGCTCGGCTAATGTCCGTCCCATGCACTGAAAGCTCTCTCCTCCACATCACGAGACGAGTAGACACGCCCCTTATTGCTGATTGGCTACAAGTTTGTTTTGCGATTCGGCCCGAATCAGTTTTCTAAAGTGTTTTTGAAAAATCACATACCCTGCCTTTACCCTTCTGTGATTTCCTCCTTAATGGTTCACACATGTACCTGGAACTTTATCTACAGAGGCGAAGGCTGGGCCGCGTCTGGACTGGTCATAGAAGCGAAAAGGGAGAGATGAAGCAACAGACGGTTGGCTGAAGCCCAGCACCTCTGTGGAAGGCTGAACAGGAAGGTCCAATAGAGCTGCAGGATGTATGTTTATGGAAAGAAGGGAAAAGAAAGATAACATGAGCAAAAAAATGTGTGATGGAAATATGCATTTATTTTTTTCCAGCTACACAGTAAAACTAAATCGTAACAGGATGAATATCCAAGCTAAAGGGAAATTCCATGTTTTTTGGAATCAGTACAATTAAACTTATTGCACCTGGCATCAATTACTTCGACATTTTATTCTGGCCAGTTAAATTATAACTAAAGTCCACATTAATCCCCCACCCCCCCACCCCCATGTTGC